CCACTGTTCTCATAATCTTCATGTTTTCACTAGAAGTGTTTATAGTTAAGTTTTTTACTTACAACAAACTTTTTTTTTTCTGCCAGGAGTTATTTATAACCATCATGGACTGCTAGTAGATACGAAATAATGGAAAATATATTGTTATTATTTTCTTAAATATTATTAAGCTCAGTGTTTGTTTGTAATTAAGCACAAAGCTACACAATGGGCTATTTGTGCTCTGCCCACCACGGGTATCGAAAACCGGATTCTAGCGTTGTAAGTCCGCAGACATACCGCTGTGCCACTGGGGGGGCTTAAGCTCAGTGAAAGTTGTATGTAATAATATTTTCATTAAGCTTTCGCAAAGTTTTTAAATTGTCAATAGAATTCACAATTATAATTTGAAAAAGAAAAGCAATGTTTAGCTTAATATATGTATGTTGATACTATCAGAGCAATCATATAAGGTTGTAAAGTGTGTTTCAAACGGGGCTAAAGTACGGTGCATGCCAAACTAGCAAACTTCCAGTAGACTCTTGCGCCATCTATTGACAAACGCGACGCTAAAATTGGTTTCATGACACAAATTGCGGCAAAGTAATAGTTTGTTTGCTTTTTGAATTTCGCGCAAAGCTACACGAGGGCTATCTGCGCTAGCAGCCCCTGATTTAGTAGTGAAAGATAGAGGGAAGGCAGTAAGTCATCACCACCTACCGCCAACTCTTGGGCTACTCTTTTACCAACGAATATTAGGATTGACCGTCACATTATAAAGCCCCCATGTCTGAAAGAGCGAGCACGTTGAGTGGGACGGTGATTCGAACCTGCAATGCTCAAATTGCGAGTCTATCGCTCTAACCACCTGGCCATGCCGGGGCCCTAACCACCTGGCCATGCCGGGTCGCAAAGTAATAGTAACGGTACCTTTAATTTCTTCTCTTTCTTCGTCCGATTCAAGTTTTCCTGCATCAACCTAGAAAAGAGTACCATTAAATAAAATTCTGCAAATAAAGTAAGCAAACATTAACTGAAACACGCTAAGATATAAAAAAAAACTATAAACATTTTACTGTAATGATGATAAAATTAATTTTGAGAACTGTTATCTCGTATATTTTATTTGGGTTTAGTAAATACTATTCATAATTGACTGCCCCCTCCCCCCCTTGTGATTTATAACCCATGGAATGGCACAGTACAGATAGCCAATTGTGTAGCTTTGTGCTTAACAGCAAACAAAAACTTATATTTCACCTTATATTTAAAACGTGTGTCTCATTATTCGTGCACATACTTGATCTTGTGTTTGTCAGTTTATACGAAAATTGTGAAAAAATATCCATCAAGTAATTTTTAAGAGATCTCATAGTTGTAATGTATTTTTAAAGTTTCACCGATAAGAATGCCTCTACACTGAACACAATTAGAATCCAAAAAAGTTTACGTAACTCACAAAAGTATGTGCTTGATAGCCTGAGTATTTCCAGAAGACCTTTCTTCCTCTTATTTACGACCGAAGTAACAAATTATTCTGCTTATAGGTTTATTTTGTTGCTGTTTTATCACAAAGCTCTGAAGGCAACCAGCTAGCAGCACTAACCGCCAACGCTTGGGCTACTCTTTTTACCAAAGAAAATTGGAATTGACCGTTACATTATAACGCCTCCACACGCCGTTTGGTGTGACGGCGATTCGAACCTGCGACCCGCAGATTGCGAGTCGAGCGCCCCCTCGGTGAGTCAGCCGTAAGTTTATGGACTTGCAACGCTAAAATTCAGGCCATGGTTTCCTGCGGTGGGTAAGGTACATATTGCGCCACGTGTAGTTTTGTACTATGAAAACAGCAACAGAAAAAGATAACAACGATCTTCACATTATAACGCTCCCACAGTCATGTTCGGCGCCGGGTTTCGATCCTACGTCCGATTTATCTTATTGTTTATACTGTGCCATATAAAATATAGAGTATTACGTGTTACAGAAATAAAAAAAAACAGAAATTAATTGAGGTGAAAATAAGAAAAAGGAGCTTAGAAGTTTCGTGTTTCTTCTTGTTTGAATAGGAAATGAAATGGTTTGGTTTGTTTTGAATTTCGCGCAAAACTATTCGAAGGCTATCTGCGCTAGCCGTTCCTAATTTAGCAGTGATAGAGTGGGATTGACCGTCATATTATAACGCCCCCACGGCTGAAAGAGCAAGCATGATCGGTAAGGGGGATTCGAACTCGCGACCCTCAGATTGCGAATCGAACCATCAGTGCCAGGCCGACGTGAAATAGAAAAGCAGCACAATTTACTCGAACTAACTCTATTTACAAGTTAGAGCACACGATGACACAATGGTCTGCCTAGTAATAACTCTGTTACACTGCATATGTGTCGGGCTGAGTGCTGAAATTCAACAAACAACAAAATACTTATCACCATGTAATTACATC